ATACAAAACGGTATGAAAATCCGAAAAAAGTTTTTGAATTATAGTTTTCCGTTACTTAAGTTAAGGTTAGGTTAGTGTATTTCTTTACGTGATATAAACAATTCTAAATATATTATTCAAACGATTCTAAGTATATAATTCAAATTGAAAGTATTTATCCACATTTGAATAATACATAAGAATATTATAAGACCTTTTGTTGGTAAAATTCGACAATTAGGGTTTACACGAGAAATCAATTAGGAGGAGGTAAATTTTATGTATTCTTTGCCCCCTTTATCCGAAACTGTTGATAAAATTTGGGGGTCAAGAGACAATTCCCCTTCCAGTTATATATGTTCTAAGGTATTAGACAGTACACATATCAGTAAATTACTTCCCTTAGCACTGACAAAAACTCTGCTATATTTCTCAAACTATTTTTGTTCATAACTTTTAAATAAGCAATGACCGCCGATTAAGTTATAAGGAAAAGTTACTTATAGAGTCATGTCCTTGACAACATATTTGAAAATTATGGAAATCGGGGGTGACTCCCTAATACTAAATATTTACCGCATTTTTTCTCATTTTCATGACGATATCTTAGAAAATACAAGCGACCTCTTATCAACAGTTTCGGATTCTGGGGGCAAGAATACATAAAATCATAAAATTTATCTCCTCCCGATTGATTTCTCGTATAGGCCCTAATTGTGGAGTTTTACCCTTTTGTTTGAGTTTAAAGTTTACAAGAGAAATAAACAGAAAAGTACAATCTGTATAATGTAGATTAGCATTTATGCAATATACATATATAGAATATATATTGCATATATATTTTAGCAAAGCAAAAAATTAGTTTATTTATTTTCTCGTATTTTCTCTTACTTTTGATAATTTTTTAATATCTGTATATGGAAAGCGAAAAAAATAGAAAAATATAAATGTGCTTGATCGATAATACAGGTGACTCCAACATCTTCTAAAGGGGATCCTAAAGTCCTTTTACCGATTAAACGCAATAATTTAATAACAACTTTTCGTATATTACAGATTATAACATGGAAAATAAAGAAATATGTTATAGTATATTGTGCACCAAGGGACGAAAGTAGCGTTTTTCAGACGAGTGTGAAGTTTGCCGCCCGAGCCGAAAGCGAGGGCGGTAAATCACACGAGTCTGAAAAAGCTTTCGCCCCGAGGTGCACACGATATTTTTTATACTACCTTTACGGAAAGTTCGACTTCCATGCCTAGAGAGAGACGAGAGTGGTCAATTTCAAGCAGGACTTACTTTCCTCCCTAGGGCAGAAAGTGGTTACTTTCCGCCCGCTATGCCGCCCTGGCGTAAAATTGACCGCTTTCGCCCCTCTCTACAGGCATGGAAAGTCGAACTTTCCGTGGAGGTGTTGTGAAAAAACAGTTTATAGTTAGTTTACATCTTTGTTTTTTTTTTATTAACAACGTTTTTCTTTACTGTTATAAAAATTGTTACTAAATATATATAATGTCAAAAAAATATTAGTTGAACTTGTTTAAAATTGTATTATCGCCTACATTGTGTGTATATTACACACATCTTTCTTCTTCTTATTAACACTTTTTTTTACTGTCATCAAAATCCCCATTAGATATACACGATGTCATTAAAATACTCACTAGATATATACAATGTCGTCAAAAAATTTTTATCAATTGGACTTGTCTAAGAGAGTAATGTATTATTGCCTACATTGTTTGAACTATTTTTATAACATAGAAAAATAAAAAATGTGAGAAAATAGTTTATAGCTCGTTTATATCTCTATTTTCATTATTAACAGCGTTTTTGTTACTGTCGTTAATATCCTCACTAGATATATACATTGTCGTCAAAATATATAGTGTCGTGAAAATAATCAATTCAGCGCTTTGAATTAGTTTGACGACGTCGTCAAACTATTTGATAGACCGCTACACTTTTGACGACAGTTGTCAAAATAATCAGAAGTCGTCAAAGTAGTCAATGCGTACTAAAAATTGTCGTTAAACTATTCGATTCACATATATATATATATATAAGTATATATATATATATA